CGTTGGCGCTGAACGGCCCGCGGGCCCCCCCGCCGGGGCGGGCGGCGCCGCCTCCCGGCTGGCCTATTCGGCGCTCGTGCGGGTCTTCCCCGAGGGGTTTATTCTCTCCCCCCACACGACGCGGGTGGAGTTCGCGGGGGGGGAGGGGGGGTGGAGGGCGATCGCCCTCGCGGCGCTTCGCCGCCACGGCGCCGCCCGGCAACAGCGAAATGCGGGGCATTCCCCCCCCGGGCCGGGGGAAAATGACGATCGGCCCCCCCCCGGGCCGTCGCCCGAGCGGGCGGGCGGGGAACATCCCGGCGAGGACCGCCCCATCCCGGCGCCGGAGCCCCACAACGGGGTGGATTCGGGAAAGGGCGAGCCTGAAAAGGACCGTTTTGAAACCGACGAACTTCAAGCGGCGGACCGTGACAAGGACGACCGGATAAAAGCCGACTTCGAAAGGGCTGAACTGAAAAAGGATAGTGCTGAGAGGGACGACAGGGACAAAGACGATCTTGAAAAGGATGAGGCCGAAAAAGATGAACCTGAAGCGGACGACCTTGAGAAGGATAATCTTGAAAACGACGACTTGGAGAAGGACGAACTTAAAAAGGATAGTGTTGAAAGGGACGAGCCTGAAATGGACAAACTTGAAAACGCCGAACCTGAAAAGGCCGAACTCAACGAGGATGACCTTGACAAGGACGGCCTTATCAAAGACAACTTTGACAAGGACAAACGTACTGAGGGCGACTTTGAAAAGAGCGAACCTGAAAAGGATAGTTTTGAGAGGGACGACAGGGACAAAGACGACTCCATAAAAGACGACCTTGAAAATAATGAACCTGACAAGGATGATCTTGAAAAGGATGAATCTGAAAAGGATGACCTTAACAAGGGCGAACCTGAAAAGGACGATTGTGACAAGAACCACCTTAACAAAGCCGAACTTGAAGCGGACGACCTTGACAAGGATAATCTTGAAAACGACGACTTGGAGAAGGACGAACTTAAAAAGGATAGTGTTGAAAACGACGACTTTGACAAAGCCGAACCCGAAAAGAACGACTGTGACAAGGACGGCCTTATAAAAGACGACCCTGCCAAGGACACCCCTGAGAAGGATAGTTTTGAAAACGAGGATCCTGCCAAGGACACCCCTGAGGAAGATAGTGCGGAAAGGGAGGATCCTGCCAAGGACAGTGTGGAGAGGGAGGATCCTGATAAGGACACCCCTGCCAAGGACAGTTTTGAAAAGGAGGATTCTGCCAAGGGGGAGTTTGGCCAGGACGACGCGGGGGGCGCCCCGGGCCCGCGCCCCCCCCTCGCCGACGGGGACG